CTCTTTCAACATCTAATTATGGAAGACAAACATTTAGATTATTAATTATAGGACATAAAAGAAAAAAAAAAAATGGAAACTTCAAATAAAAGAGCCTTCATAAATTGAATTGTTCACAATTTAGTACTTACCTTTTTAATTAAGGGCAGGTACTCCTTTGCAGGTTGAAAAATTGTGCTTTCATTGCCCTACAAAATCATGATCATTTTGTTCTCAGTATATGAAGTATAGTCACAATCTATAATAGTACATATATATGGCTTTAATTGCAAACTAGTATTAATATCCATGTACAACATGGGTGTTGAGTTATATATGTGTAAAGTTATTTATGTCTAATACCAAACCTAATTTCAGAGCAAAAATAATATAAAAACATCACGAAGTACAGATTTTCGTCAATGTCAGCATCCGAAGCGTGAGAATCTGCCACCTAGGCTCAACACGTTTTGAATTAATATATAGGGAGGGATTGATAGTCCTATACCATGTGTACTATATGGATACTTGAAAATATTAATATTTGTAATAATAATTAAAAAAAAAAAGTAAAATAATAACAATAAACCGATAACCTTGTCATCTTGGGTGTTTATTTGATACTCTCCATATATACAAGACTTCACATTTGAAGGAGGCCCTTTTATATCCATCCCATGGCTCCCAGCATAGAAAACCTCATCCAACTTAACAAATTCATAAACCTAATTCCCCACAAAAAAAAAAATAAATAAATAACATTAAAAGAAAATTAAATTTGATAATTCGTCGTCTCTAAAATAAATTCGAGCAGAAATTATATTAAATTATTACCTTTTCTCGACTCCTACCGCTGATTATAGCGGTCGGGAAGTACCTTGCAACTTCACGTACGGCCGATCTCATCTAAGGATACATTCTATGATTAATGGACATTTCTATATATAGTATGTCATGCATAAATAACACAATATTTATAATAAAAAAAAATGTTTCATTAATATATATGATTTAATTACCGGGTCGGACATAAATGCTCGATCGGGGTCGTTTACGATAGGTGAAAGAGTCCCGTCGTAATCCAAAAACACAACTATTTGTTTCCCTTTTGCAGCATTCATCATCCCATTGAAAGAGGCTATTGCAGAAGGATGATCATTCTGGAAAAAAAAAAAAAATGGTATAGAGACATTACTTATTAGAACACATGGGGAAAATATGGCTTTTATATTTGATGCTAATGTAAGTAAGCTACTTATTCATATAATTTGCTGTTTCCTTATTTCTTGAAATCACATGAATAATAATTCAAACTCAAAAACAAAAAATATAGTAAAGTTAAATTTGCAAATATAGTCCCTTTTGGGGCACCAACTTGTTGGGCTCAGATACGCAATACGGAAGATGTAAATTATTGTTTATCATTTTACCTTGAAGATTGAAGAGCCACCTTTGTGTATGATCATGACTAACAAAAATAGAACAGTGTGAGTCGCTCAAGCTCATTTAAGGCTCGTTTAGTCAATTAGTCAAGTACGACTCAACTCATTCGCCTTGAAATAAAAAAAATGAATTTTATGAAATCTTTTGATTTTTTAGTATAATTGAGTCAAACTCGAGTTTGTTTATCTTGTTAAAACTCAATTCGCGCTAAACAGCTATACTTACCAGCCAGGAAATATATCTCGTGTCTGCCAGATTAAGTCCATTGGGCTGCTCGTCGGCAGTAACACTGGAGTCATTTTCTGGGCAACTGGGCTCTTCGGTTCGGGGCCCATAGATCTATTTCTGAAGGCCCATTGCCATGTAAAGCTTCCTAATGTTATCCTTCACCATGTCTTGATCTGCAGCATAAGATTGTGCAAAAACATATTTCTCATTCTGAGTAAAGTATAACAGAAAACAAGGAAAGAAAAAGAAAAAATTAAAAAAAAAAAGGTATAAATTAAAGATTACAAATAAACAGATTAGAGCCCATCATATTATTTTTGAGTTACGGTGAATGATGGGCTCCAATCTATGTAAGTCAAGATATTTATAAAGCCCATAATTGAGGTTCTTGCATCAATAATTGTACTAAAGGCATGCTAAAAGCCCAAAAACAAGTTTAGGAAAGTGGAAAATGACAAAAAAATAAAAAATAAAAAATTGAAGTAAGTCGTTTTCAAGCCTCAACATTTAAGGGCTCTCCCCCCCAACAAATGCCCACAGATTTATGGGTCCCACACGTTGTTTTTAATTTGATGTGTCCTAAATTGATTTTTGTTTACAAAGTTTGATACATTGACTTAGACATGGCCACGGCCGGGCCGGCGAGCCACCCATGGGTGACTCTTGACAGATCCGACAAAAAATGGGACTCAGAAACGACCCGTAAAGTCACGGTGTCAGTTCACAAACCCAAAAACCTACGGGTTGGTTGCAGGCTCGGCCAGGACCGGGCCGACGAGCCGGCCCAGCCCGTGGCCCATTGATTCATCAAAGTGAACTGGAAAAAAGGGAAACGTTTTATTAAGAAAGCATTCTTCATCTTACACATTTATCAATTGTATGTATAATTGACAAAGAAAAATAAAAAAACTTTGGAAGAAAACAACCTACAAAAAGGAAAAGATTGAAGTAGTTAATATAATAAACAAAAAGTCCTCCCTATATATAATTCCCGAATGCACTGAGCCTACGTGGCTGTTTCTGGTGCTTCGAAATCCTATTTGACGAAGAATCATGCTTCGTAATTAGGTTTGGACAAATAATATTAATATATTATAATTAATAATCTAGATTCGGGTATTCCATAAATTCTATTTAGTTAACTTAGGTATTTTAATATCACTTTTACTAATATAACCCTTTAATTCTTTGTAATTTTACATAATGAGGCACTCAGTGACTAATATATCCCTAAATTTTGATTTGATTCCTTCAATAAGTTATTGAAATATAAATGTATTTTAAAAGTAGATAACTTTTGTATTTCTTATCGATTTTACATATATAATAAATCAAATTAATCATCTTTTGATGATCTTCGATTTGACATCCATATTGTATATATAAAATAAATAAATTATATTTATCTTTATAATAATAAAAAATTATAATATTTATTAAAATTCATTAGAAAAATAAAATTATTTCTCAATTGATATATTTATATTTAATGTAGTTATATACTGTAAGTTAAAAAATTAGTATAATATAACACAAGTAAGTTGCACAAATAAAAAGTATCATAATAAATATATAATATATATATATTCTTATAAAAGGTATTTAAAAGGTATTTAAATTTTCAAATTATTTTTCTCATTAATTAAAAATTTTAAGAAAGTGTAATACACGGGTGTTGTACTAGTTGAATAATAAATCATAAAGTTTATTAGGCAGCCATGCGCCGGCCAATATATATATATATATATATATATATATAAGATAAATAGTCA